CTGGTTCATCAACCCTTTAGGACCAACTCATTAGTAGGTCCATTATTCCGGTTGGACCAATTGGCTTGTTGGTCCAACAACCCTGTCGGACCAATTGGCTTGGTGGTCGAACAACCTAGTTGGACCAACTGGATTGTTGGTCCAACAACGCGGTAGGACCAACTCGTAGGTTTAACAACCCGCTTGGACCAACTGGCTTGATGGTCCAAGAAACCGGTAGGACCAACTCAACAGTAGGTCCAACAACCTGGTTGGACCAATTGGCGTGTTGGTTCAACAACCCATTCGGACCCATTGGATTGTTGGTCCAACATCTCGGTAGGACCAACTCGTCAGTAGGTCCATCAACCGAGTTAGAGTAATTGTACCAACAACCCAGTTGGACTAGCTCGCTTGTTGGTCCAACAACCCGGTTGGACCAACTGTCTTGTCTGTCCAACAACCCGGTTGGACCAACTGGCTTGTTGGTCCAACAACCCGGTTGGACCAACTGGCTTGTTGGTCCAACAACCCGGTTGGACCAACTGGCTTGTTGGTCCAACAGCCCGGTTGGACACAGTGGTCCGTAGGTCATACCAGGTTGGACCAACTGGCTTGTTGGTACAGCAACTCGGTTGGACCAATTGGCTTGTTGGTCCAACAATCCGGTAGGACCTACTGTTTAGTAGGTCCAACAACCAGATTGGACCAACAGGCTTGTTGGTCCAACAACTCGGTAGGACCAACTGGTCAGTAGGTCCAACAACCAGGTCGGACCAACTGGCTTGTTGGTCCAACAGCCCGTTTGGACCAACTTGTTGGAAGGTCCAACAACCCGATTGGACCATCTAGCTTGTTGGTCCAACAACCATGTAGGACCATTTGGTCAGTTTCTACAACAACCCGGTTAGAACAATTGGATTTGTTAGCGATTGAGGACTGAGTCTATTAAGATTAGTTGCCGAAGTAACACAAAATCGTTGGTCTCAATTTCTGGACAGAAACCGCGAATTCACAAGAAACGTCGTCGTCGAAACGTTCACCGTTAAAATCTCACGAAAACCAAGTATGTTGTAGCTCTAGACCGTGGCTACAATTCCCAAGTTGAATCACGTCAAATGGTGAACTAAATCGTGAGTTATTCGTTTCGGCGCATAGGGGGGTATGCTGCCACAGAATATTTAACTCAATCACAATTAACTCAGAAGTTCCACAAGTTACACACAAGAGAGTTAGAGTAGCACTAAACCAGGTAGGAGGGAAGAGGAGGACGAGAGGGAAGGTCCCAAGGGAGTCCCCAACCAAGGAAACCCCATGCCACACAATTTCTCCCTCAATAGGCAACCCAACTTTCACCCTTGTCATTTTCCCAACCTCCCAAATCCACCTCACTCCCACTTGGCCACACTTGCCAACCTGGTTTGGCTTCTCCCAACCACATGGCAGCATCTACAGTGATGGGTTCGAATGTCCCAACCCCAAAAGTCTGTACCCCATATTGAGAAACTCCCACAACTTCCCAAAGTCGCCGCAACCAAAGTACAGAAAGCATACGAACTCCAATGTCCGTAACTTTCTTGTTCTTGCTCCGACTAGTTTGTTGTGATGCTATCATTCGCATTCACGTCTGTCTGCCTCCCATCATATGCTTGTGCGGTTTGGATTTTCTGAGTGTGTGTGAATGTTATTTGGCTTGAGCAGATATCTGAAGTGATTGCTCTGCTCGAGAGCTTTCCGACGAACCAAGAATCGTCGCGATCGGAGCAAGAACAAGAAAGTTACGGACATTGGAGTTCGTATGCTTTCTGTACTTTGGTTGCGGCGACTTTGGGAAGTTGTGGGAGTGACTCAATATGGGGTACAGACTTTTGGGGGTTGGGAATTCGAACCCATCACTGTAGAATGCTGCCATGTGGTTGGGTGAAGCCAAACCAGGTTGGCAAGTGTGGCCAAGTGGGTTGAGGTGGATGGCATGGGTTGGGATAGTGACAAAAGTGAAAGTGGGGTTGCCTATGGAGAGGGAAATTGTGTGGCATGGGGTTTCCTTGGTTGGGGACTCCCTTGGGACCTTCCCTCTCGTCCTCCTCTTCCCTTCTACCTGGTTTAGTCCTACTCCAACTGTCTTGTGTGTAACTTTTGTTGAACTTGTGAGAATCTTGTGATTGAGTTAATTTTCTGTGGCAGCATACCCCCTTGTGCGCCGAAAAGGATAACTCACGATTTAGTTCACCACCTTTTGAGGTGATTCAAATTGGGAATTGTAGCCACGGTCTAGTGCTACAACATAGCAGAGTTTGACGGAATTTTAACAGTTAGTGTTTCGTCGACGGCGTTTCTTGTGAAATCGCGGTTTCTGTCCAGAATTTGAAGCCAACGATTTTGTGATATTTCGGCACCTATTCTTCATAGACTCGATCCTTAATCTCTAACAAGTGGTATCAGAGCTGATTGAGGACTTTGTGGGGAGTCTACTGAAGTGTGAAGACCCTCCTAGACCCACCATGGCCTGTGGGCGTGCCTAAGTAGAGTTCCGGAGGTTGGGAGTGACTTCCGCTAAGGGGAAACTCTGCCGAAATTTCGTTGGCGCCGACACTTGTGAAAATATTGTAGGACGTTGGTGTGGACAGCAAAGGGGGAGCTGAAACCTCTGATTGGGAGCAGAGGAGATGAGTGGAGAAGCAGCTGAGAAGAAGAGTGAACCGCCACCGTCCAAGATCGAGGCTTTGGACGGCTCCAACTATGAGGAATGGAGCGGGCGGATGCGGAGCGCATTTAAGCGCTACAAGCTGCTGAAACTTGTGATGGGAGAAGAGAAGATGCTTGAGGAAGGAGATGCCAGCGACCGGTGGATTGAGCAGAGCGCGGTGCTATACGACCTTATCCTTCAATCGGTCAACAACGACATGTTCCAGCACATCAAGGACTTAGTGGAGCTGGACGACTCCGGACCGAAGGCGTGGAAGCTGCTACGCGACGTGGTACAACCTAACACGCTGCCGATGGTGATTGTGTTGGAGAAGGAGCTGGCTGCCCTCTCCATGAAGCCGGGAGACGATGTGAAGCCGGTCCTTGACAAGATCAAGGACACATATGCGAGGATGGCAGCGGCGGGCAGCAAGGTGTCGGAGATGCAGCAGTGCACCAAGATCATCTCGGTGCTCGACAACTCGTGGGACAACCTCATCCCCACCCTCAACGTTCAGCAGGACAAGTGGACGCCTGAGTGGCTACGGCAGCAGATCCTGCAGGAGGACTTCCGCAGGCGCCACACGGGAGGTGGTGCTGCCAACAAAACCGTTAAGGGGTATGGAGCTGCAGGAGGCAGCAGAGGAAGAGGGGGTGGGAGAGACCGAAGCCGTGGGAGAGGCTTTGGCAGAGGAAGAGGCCGAGGTGACTACAACGAGGGGCATGGGAGCTCTGGTGGCAGGGGGAGCACCCGAATGGAGGGAGCTTGCTGGTACTGCAAGAAGGCTGGACACCCGTGGTTCAAGTGTTTCAGCCGGCCTGAAGGATGGGCGCCTCCAGGCATGAAGCCGCCAAGTGGTGAACGTGCACGAGGTGGCGCAGTGCAAGGTGCAGGTGCACAAGGTGATGGTGCACAAGGTAAAGCTGACCCTGGGCTGTTCCTCATGGTTGAGGAAGTGAAAGGGAGTGAGGATGATGTGGGTTCGGTTGGGAAGGTTGTGATGCACCCCCTCACTCACTGGGTGATCGATTCTGGTTGCACGAGTCACATGACTCCGCGGGCAGATTTGCTTGATGAGGTGAAACCCCCTGGGAAGATCAAGTTTGTGGCTGCCGCTTCAGGTGCTTTGCTCCCTGTGATTGGTGTGGGGAATGCCAAGGTGATGGGAGCCAATGGGGGACTTGTGGGGCTTGGAAATGTCCTACTTGTTGAAGGTTTATCCGCTCACCTACTCTCTGTGCGCCGACTGCAGAAAAGCAAGGCCAAAGTTACGTTCGGCCCAAAGAGCTGCCGTGCGAAACTTGGGAAGTTGCTGCTGTGGGATTTGGACGAGAAGAGCAGCTGCATCAAGGACCTGTGGCAGCTGCCCATCATCCCTTGGAATGGGAAACCACCAGCAACGGCAAAGGCAGCGGCAGCGGCTAAGGCAACTGCGGGAGGAGAGGTGACTGCACCAACTGCTGGGGCCCTGGATGCAGTCAAGAAGGTGCAGCAGCCACAGCAGCCTCATGGTGAGGTGCTTGCAGGTGTGGATGCAACGGCTGCATGGGCAAAGGCTTCGTCTGGGAGTGGTGAGGCCGATTGGGAGACGTGGCACGAGAGGTTGTGCCACATCAACATTCCTATGCTGCAGAAGTTGGCTAAGGATGGGAGCTTGAAGGGATTGGAGGTGAAGGGGGCAGCAAAGGAGATTGGGAGCTGCCCTACATGCCTTGAAACGAAGTTCACAAAGTTTCCCTTCAGCAGCAGCACGGGACCAGCCAAGGCACCACTTGCACTTGTGCACATGGATGTGGTGGGCCCTACGAGGGCCCCTTCTCTCTCGGGCAGCCGCTACTTCTTGACCATCGTGGACGACCACACGCGTGCGGTGTGGGTCTACCCTCTCAAGGCGAAGGGGGAGGTGGCAGCGGCTGTTCTTAAGGAGTGGATGCCGAGAGCTCAAAGGGAGAGCGGACACAAGGTGAAAGTGATCCGCACCGACAACGGAGGAGAGTTCATTGGCAATGAGTTTGAGGCGGTGCTGAAGAAGAAGGGCATTCAGCATCAGCTCACAGTGCCCTACAACCCTCAGCAGAACGGCGTGGCTGAGCGGTTCAACCGGACCCTGCAGGAAGGTGCTCGCACTCTCCTTGGGCGTGCAGGGTTGCCGGATCCGTTTTGGGTGACTGCACTACGGCAGGTGGGTGCTGGCGACCGTGGGGGACAAGCAGTGGATCCCCTACACCAAGTGGTATGGGAGTGCACCTGCAGTCAACATGCTGAGAGCCTACGGCTGCATGGTGGTGTTTCATGTGCCTAAAAAGAAGAGGGGAAAGCTAGAAGCTTCTGGGAGATGGGGTGTGCACTTGGGACTTGCCAAGGATCACAAGGGCTGGTTGATATGGGATTTGACCAGCCAGCAGCTGACTGTGTCGAGGGATGTGAAGTTCCTCGAGTCCCTGTACTACAAGGAGTGGAAGCAGCAGCAGCAGAAACTTCCCTCCACACCCCTGATCATTGAGGCCGATGAGGTGCAGCGGCCTTCAAGGCAGGTGGAAGTCTCCGTGTCGGGGGAGGAGATCTCTGGGGTGACTGAGGATGGGGGAGAACGTGAGGTGGTAGAGCAGCAGCAGCCGCAGCAGCAGCAGCAGCAGCAGCAGCAGCAGCAGCAGCAGCAGCAGCAGCAGCAGCAGCAGCAGCAGCAGCAAGGTGCTCCACAAGGTGCCGCACGTACGGCTGACCGTCCTAGGAGGGATGTGCGCCCTCCGAACCGTCTTACGTACCCTAGCTTTGGGAAGCCAAAGGTGGTAAGGGCTGGGAGTGTGGCTGAGCAGTGTGATGAGGAGGAGATAGCGCACTGCTACTGGGCAGCCGTCCCTGAGCCCAAGACACTTACCGAGGCCTTGAGTGGGCCCGATGCTGAGAATCCAATGGAAGCAGAGTGTGAAGGAGGAGTACGACTCACTGCTGGAGAATGAGACGTGGGAGCTGTGTGAGCTGCCCCGTGGGAAGAAGGCCATTTCTTCGAAGCTGATTTTCAGGCACAAGTATGGACCTGATGGGGAGCTGACCTGCTACAAGTCAAGGCTTGTGGCTAAAAGGTTCCAGCAAACAAAGGGCAAGGATTTTGACGACATCTTTGCTCCTGTGGGGAAAGGGACAACACTGAGGACGATGTTGGCAATGGCTGCAAACCGCGGATGGAAGATCAAGCAGATGGACATCATCACTGCCTTCCTCAATGGGATCATCCTGGAGGAGCTGTACATGTTGCAGCCTGAGGGGTTGGATGATGGGAGCGGCAGGGTGTGCAGGCTGAAGAAGGCTATTTATGGCCTGAAGCAGGCTCCTCGTGGATGGTACCACAAACTGGAGGAGACCCTGCTGGTTGGGGGATTCAAGAAGAGTAAATGCAACCACAGCCTGTTCCTGCTGCAGGAGAAGGAGCAGTTTCTCATGCTCCTGGTGTATGTGGACGACATCCTGCTCTTCTCTGAGTCGTCTGCAATGATTGAGCGTGTGGAGGAGATGCTGGAGATGCAGTTCAAGTGCTCGAAGATGGGAGATGTGAAGTACTACCTTGGGATGCATGTGGAGAGAGACCTTGACAAGGGAGTGTTGAGGTTGCACCAGAGGAAGTACTGTGAGGGGCAGGCCGAGAAGTATGGGCTGCAAGGTGCAGGGAAGCCAGCCACCCCACTGCCTTCGGGGTTCACTGTGGAGCCCTGTGCTGATGAGGAGGTGGTGGGAGAGAGTGACAGGAAGCTGTTTCATTCAATGGTTGGGGCACTCAACTACGCGGCTAACCACACGCGGCTTGACATAGCCTTTGCTACATCCAGGCTTGCGAGTGTGGTTTCACGCCCCAGTCATGAGCAGCTGGAAGCGGCCAAGAGGTTGGTCCGCTATGTGAGCGCTACAGCATCAGTTGGCTTGGAGTACAGTGCCGTGCGACACAGGCTGCAGAGGGGTGCTGCTGGCTTGGGCAAGGGGGAGATGCTCTTGACCTGCTACACCGACGCTAGCTTCAACTCTGTGAAGGAGGATGGCACCAGCATTGGAGGCTATGTGTGCCTCTTTGGAGGTGGTGCAGTGAGCTGGCGCAGCAAGAAGCAGAACGAGGTGGGGCTGTCCTCGTGTGAGACAGAGTACATGGCCCTGCATCATGGGGCAAAGGAGGTGGTGTGGCTGAGGCGTTTGTTGGAGGAGATCGGAGTGTGCCAGAAGGAGCCGACTGTGATTTTCTGTGACAACGAGTCAGCAGTGAAGCTGGCCAAGAATGCTTGTCTCCATGGCCTGACAAAGCACATCAGGCCTAAGTGGCATTGGACAAGGAGGCTCCTGGACAAGGAGGTGCGACTGGAGCTTGTGAAGACCCAGCAGCAGGCAGCTGATATCCTCACCAAGCGCCTGGCTGAATCTGAGCATTGGAAGGGGATGAAGCTTGCTGGAATGAGTGTGCATTGAGGGTGCATGCTTGAGCTATGACATGTGGAATGATGGTTGGCAGCCAGAGGGGGAGTTTGTTGTGATGCTATCATTTGCATTCACGTCTGTCTGCCTCCCATCATATGCTTGTGCGGTTTGGATTTTCTGAGTGTGTGTGAATTTTTTTGGCTTGAGCAGATATCTGAAGTGATTGCTCTGCTCGAGAGCTTTCCGACGAACCAAGAATCGTCGCGATCGGAGCAAGAACAAGAAAGTTACGGACATTGGAGTTCGTATGCTTTCTGTACTTTGGTTGCGGCGACTTTGGGAAGTTGTGGGAGTGACTCAATATGGGGTACAGACTTTTGGGGGTTGGGAATTCGAGCCCATTCATCACTGTAGAATGCTGCCATGTGGTTGGGTGAAGCCAAACCAGGTTGGCAAGTGTGGCCAAGTGGGTTGAGGTGGATGGCATGGGTTGGGAAAGTGATAAAAGTGAAAGTGGAGTTGCTTATGGAGAGGGAAATTGTGTGGCATGGGGTTTCCTTGGTTGGGGACTCCCTTGGGACCTTCCCTCTCGTCCTCCTCTTCCCTTCTACCTGGTTTAGTCCTACTCCAACTCTCTTGTGTGTAACTTTTGTGGAACTTGTGAGAATCTTGTGATTGAGTTAATTTTCTGTGGCAGCATACCCCCTTGTGCGCCGAAACGGATAACTCACGATTTAGTTCACCATTTGACGTGATTCAACTTGGGAATTGTAGCCACGGTCTAGTGCTACAACATACTCGAGTTTGACGGAATTCTAACGGTTAGTTTTTCGTCGACGGCGTTTCTTGTGAAATCGCGGTTTCTGTCCAGAATTTGAAGCCAACGATTTTGTGTTATCTTGGCACCTATTCTTCATAGACTCGATTCTTCATCTCTAACACGATTGAGACGATTCTTGGTTCGTCGGAAAGCTCTCAAGCAGAGCAATCACTTCAGATTTCTGCTCATTCACACACACATACACTCAGAAAATCCAAATCGCACAAGTATATGATGGGAGGCAGACAGACGTGAATGCGAATAATAGCATCACAACAGGATTCTTGGTCCAACAGCCCGGATGGACAAACTAGCTTGCTGGTCCATTAACCCTGTAGGACCAACTCGTTAGTAGGTCCATCAACCCGATTTGATCAATTGGCTTGTTGGTCCGACATCCCACTCGGACCAATTGGCTTTTTGGTCAAAGAACCTAGTCGGACCAACTGAATTGTTGGTCCAACAACCCGGTAGGACCAACTGGTCAATATGTCCATAAACCTGGTTGGACCAATTGGTGTGATAATTCAAATACTTAGTCACCCAACTAGTTTGTTGGTCCAACATCCCGGTAAACTCGTTAGTAGGTCCATCAATCTGGTTGGACCAATTGGCTTGTTGGTCCAACAACCCAGTTGGACTTGCTGGCTTGTTGGTCCAACAACTCGATTGGACCAATTGGCTTGTTGGTCCAACAACCCGATTGGACCAACTGGCTTGTTGGTCCAACAACCCGGTTGGACCAACTGGCTTGTTGGTCCAACAACCTGATAGAACCAACTTGTAACTAGGTCCATCAACCCGGTTGGACCAACTGGCTTTTGGTCCAACAGAATTGGTGGTCCAATCGGATTGTTGGTCCAACAACCCAGTTGGACCAACTGGCTTGTTGGTCCAACAACCCGGTTGGACCAACTGGCTTGTTGGTCCAACAACCCGGTTGGACCAACTTTTTTGTTGGTCCAACAACCCGGTTGGACCAACTGGCTTGTTGGTCCAACAACCCGGTTGGACCAACTGGCTTGTTGGTCCAACAACCCGGTTGGACCAACTGGCTTGTTGGTCCAACAACCCGATTGGACCAACTGGCTTGTTGGTCCAACAACCCGATTGGACCAACTGGCTTGTTGGTCCAACAACCCGGTTGGACCAACTGGCTTGTTGGTCAAACAACCCGGTTCCACCAACTGGCTTGTTGGTCCAACAACCCGGTTGGACCAAATGGCTAGTGTATCCAAACAACCCGGTCGAACCAATTGGCTTGTTGGTCCAACAACCCACTCGGACCAACTGGATTGTTGGTACAACAACCTGATAGGACCACTTGGTCAGAACATCCAACAAACCTGTTGGACCAATTTGCTTGTTGGTCCAACAACCAAGTTGGACCAACTGGCTTGTTGGTCCAACAACCCCATCGGACCAACTGGTCAGTAGGTCCAACAACCTCGTAGGACCAACTGGCATGTTGGTCCAACAACCTTGTTGGACCAACTGGCTTGTTGGTCCAACAACCCAGTTGGACCAACTGGTCAGTACGTTGGCTTGTTTGTCCATCAACCCTGGTTGGACCAACTGGCTTGTTGGTCCAACAACCCGTTAGGACCAGTAGGTCCAACAACCCAGTTGGACCAAATGGCTTGTTGTTCCAATAATCTCGTAGGACCAACTTGTCAGTAGGCCCTACAACCAAGTTGGACCAACTGGCTTGTTGGTCCAACAACCCGGTTGGACCAACTGGCTTGTTGGTCCGACAACCTGGTTGGACCAACTGGTCAGTAGGCCAAACAATCCGATTGAACCAACTGATTTGTTGGTCCAACAATCCAGTAGGACCAACTGATAAGTAGGTCCAACAACCCAGTTGGACCAACTGGCTTGTTGGTCCAATAACCTGGTTGGACCAACTGGCTTGTTGGTCCAACAACCTTGTAGGACCAACTACTGGTCAGTAGATCCAACAATTAGGTTGGAACAACTAGCTACTTGGTCCAACAACCCGGTTGGACCAACTGGCTTGTTGGTTCACGAATCCGGTTGGACCAATTGGCTTGTTGGTCCAACAACTTGTAAGGATTACTTGGTCAGTAGGTCAAACATCCCGGTTGGATCAAATGGCTTGTTGTTCTAATAATCTTGTACGACCAACTTGTCAGTAGGCCCAACAACCAGGTTGGACCAACTGGCTTGTTGGTCCAACAACCCGGTTGGACCAACTGGCTTGTTGGTCAGACAACCCGGTTGGACCAACTGGTCAGTAGGCCAAACAATCCGATTGAACCAACTGATTTGTTGGTCCAACAATCCAGTAGGACCAACTGATAAGTAGGTCCAACAACCCAGTTTGACCAACTGGCTTGTTGGTACAATAACCTGGTTGGACCAACTGGCTTGTTGGTCCAACAACCCAGTAGAAACAACTACCCAGTGGGTCCATCAACCCGGTCGGACCAACTGGCTTGTTGGTCCAACAACCCGGTTGGACCAACTGGCTTGTTGGTCCAACAACCCAATTGGACCAACTGGCTTGTTGGTCCAACAACCCGGTTGGACCAACTGGCTTGTTGGTCAAACAACCCAGTTCCACCAACTGGCTTGTTGGTCCAACAACCCGGTTGGACCAAATGGCTTGTGTATCTAACAATCCGGTTGGACCAATTGGCTTGTTGGTCCAACAACCTGTTGGTGTAAGGGCCTAATAAACTCAAGCTATTAGGACTTAATCAAACTTAAAACCTCTCCTCGGGGTCACCTCCAAGGGTCCTTGGGTGCCTGGTACAAGACCAGCCCCTATCCTCGGGTCCGAGTTTGTAGAGAGAGGGATCAAGAAGGACTTAGTCAAAACAGCAAGAGTACCTTGAACGTCGCGCAGCGTGCCGTGCAGACCGTCGGTCGGATTAAGCTGAGAATTCGCTATATCGAAGCTCGCTCCA